CTGGTCCATCTTCTTCTTCTCTCTGGCAATGGTGGCCTGAAGATCAGCTAGCTCTCTCTCTTGTGATTTGAGTTCTTTGTTAAGCTCATTTAACTTCTGCATAGTGACTAGAACACCACTTGAGTTTGGAGAACTACCTCCAGACAGCGTACCAGATGGATCATAAGAGTCACCTTCTAATGTGATACTCTTCATTCGAACAGAAGGATCAAATGTGACTCGCTTAGCTGTAGCAGCATCTGCGCAGATGAGAGTATTTCCGAATACGTAATCCATAGCAGTCGAAACTTCTTCATCATATCCAACCAAGGATAGTGCAAGATCGACTTTACCCGGGGCAATTCTTTGGGCAGCACCAATCTTTTCCGCTGAAGCTCGGAAAGCGGCAATCTTGTTCAGGGGGATGATAGTGACTCGCTTCCTTAATTTTCCATTTTGAAGTAACTGGGTGCCAGTAACTTCTGTGTCAACGACAACATTGTACAAACGACCACCTGCACAAATTTCAAGGGCTGTTCCCGCAGCTGTGTGGTTCTTGTCAATTGTGAAAAGTTGAGCCACCAAACCCTTAACTTTCGATCTATCGAAATTTGGAGTAGGATCTGCGTAATTGAAGTCCACATTTGCTACTTTACGTTTCAGCCCATCTGCCTGTTCCCGAATTCTTCGGATGTTTTGCTGAATAGTCGATTCTTGCTTGTACATATCATCCTCCTTGCCTGCTTCGAAGCCCAATTTTTGAAGCTCCTTTTCGAGTTTCTGAGCTTGAGATCGTAATCCTTCAAGGTCTCCAAGTAGTCCAGCATTCTGCTCTTTAGCCTTTTTCGACCGTGGCTCCTCTTCTTTGATTCGCTTCTCAAGATGAGTAATCTTCAATTTGGCTTGCTCTTGCTCGGTAGATGCAGCACTCATTCGATTCCTTGCATCCTGTAATTGTCCTTGATATCCACTCTCTTGACCTTCCTTGGATGCGACACCAGTTTGTAGAGTTTGCAAAAGCTCCTCTTTTGTCTCTGCTTCTAAATTTTGCTTCTCTAAATCTTCCTTGGCCTTATCGTATTGCGATTGTACTTTTTCGTAAATCTTGGTCTTCTGTTTGAGTAGAGATTCCATCTCGGAAACCATCTTCTGAGTTGCCAACTTTCGTTCCTGCTCTTCCGCCATACTTGATTTTTTCAGATCCATGACTGTCGCAAGTCGAACCAATTCATGAGAATATTTCTTAACCTCTTCTTCTAAAGCTGACGCTTTTCCACCCTTCTTTAATTCTTTCTCCCGTTGTGCCTTCACCCGTTTGATATCTTCTTCTAAGAATGAGATTTCGCTTTTCAACCGATTCGCCGATTCCTCCAATTCTATCGCCCGTTGTTTCTTGAGCTCGAGATCATTAGCTGATTGGGCAACCTTTTCTTGATTCTTCAAATAGTCATGCGCCACCACCACTCTTGTGAGTCTCTCCAAGTCGTTTTGTGTTTGTTGATAATCCAGGAAAGCCCGTTTCTCCGTCCGCAGCTTTTCCAACTTTGGCTCGATTTCTTCTTTCAATAACTCAGTGATCTCTTGGACCTTCATTTCCTTCTTAGCCATTGTCTTGAAAGCCTTGTCTCTCCTGTCCTCGAACATTCGTGTCCCCGCCGCCTCCTCAATCATGGCAAGGATTTCAACCGCTTTCATGTTAAGCACTTTTGTAATTCGTCCTTGCATAATCAAGAAATTGGGGTTGTTGATATTGAGCTGAACGGATTGGAAAAGGTTTTGCACAGTTTGTTGTTGTGCTCGATGTCCATTTATAAGATATTTGCTGGTACCTCCCAGGACAATTTGTCGAGTAACACTGATTTGAGCATATTCCTCAAATCCAATGGGCGATTTCTTCTTGTCTCTATTGTCGAAAACAATTGTCACACTAGCCTTCGTTACTCCGGCTTGTCCACGCTTGTATATTAAATCCTAAAGAGGCCCGTCAATACGTTTCATGCCCATGTGAGGGGCTATAATATACCTGAAGATTCTGCGCCCGAACTGTTGTCATATTCGTAATACCAAGAACAAAACATATTGAGTCGAGGATATTTGATTTACCACTACCATTCAGACCAGTAATTGAATTGAAACTCTCATCCCTAAATTAGATGTAAGAATATGTACCAAAGAATCCTTCGTTTGCATTGTTTACCATCCTGAAATTACAGTACGCACAGCGTACGATTTGAAACCCTGTAAATGAGTTAGTCAAGAGATCTAAGGATTTTGAGGACTGTTGAATAAGACATACATCTATAATGACTTCTACTACCCTCATTATGGCGGTGTTGAGTCGTAATATCGTTGGTCGTAAAGTCGTAAATATTTATATTTTGATTTGCGCGTGAGAGTAAACAACACAATTTGGGTCCGCAGCAACCTCGGATCAATTGGTTATTCCGACCCGTACCCCTCATCCACACACTTCATCCAAACGCACCAGACTTCCATTGATAATCTGTACAATTGCGCATCACTTTAATATAAATGTGTATAATATTGGCATCGTAGTAGATTAAAATACTAGGATATATAGCTATCCCATCATAGGTACTTTGATTAACTTACAGTTGTGCAATAATTTCATATCATACCTGAATTACCACGAGCAGAAGTCAAAATAGCACGAAAAGACAGTAACCGATCAAGACCTCAAAAAGATCAACTGGCATGATTGATCGAAGTGCATCTATTTTGTAGTTTATTTTGTCGTGGATCCAAACTCACTGATCTCAAATATTCATCTTCGGGGCTCAATATTTGACACTCACCGAAAAGATACATTCAGAACACTTTCACCAACATCCCACTCGCCAAATTTCAAGGAGAGATCAAGATAAGGTAAAAGTTATAGTAGTTCCGGAATCAGATACTGCGGTTTGTTCATGAAACGTCCGAAAAATTGTTCCAGATATGTGCAAGAGTTGCGTGATTTGGAAGCTAGAGATCTTGTGCTTGAATAAGATAGAGGGTGTCAAGATGGTACTGTATTCATGTTGGCAGTGGGTGACGAAAGAACTTAAGAAGTCGTTCAAAGTTTCAAAGGGGCCATTGCAGATGTGAAACCAAAGATCTAAAAGAGAAAGCAGTGGTAGGTCAACTGCACGAACGCTGAAGCAAGCTGGATACATTCTAAATCAATAACAATAAATCTAAGATTATTTGTGATTCCCTTTCTTCAGGTTCAAATCGTTCTTCATGCTATCCTCAAAACTCTAATACTAAAAAGTTTCGTCTGAAGCTTGGAAGATAGTGCCCAAGTTCATTGCTGATTATACATCAAGTACTTGCGTACCCACAAAGGAAGACTATTAAAGCCTTCCTGGTATCTTTTGACCAAAACACTTCGTGCATCATTTACCTATCATACTCAGAAAATATCTATCAAGCTTCATGGAAAAGTTTTCCCGAAACATGAACCTGTCACACACCGTATAGATGATTTATTTGGCTTGGTGGTAATACTTCATCTTGAAGGGCCTTTCTTATGTTGGGAGCTGGATCTGGAATCATATATATATATCACAGCTGAGGTCTCGGGGCCATTGATGATAAGATCGTTTGAGCCTCCATATACATACGGCAGATAGTCTTGTGTGCGCTGAGTATGTATGTGGGAAGGCAAGGGTTGATATGAAGCTCAGATTACCCTTGTTTCATTAGCACTAAACGAGCGATAAAGGGGGAAGGGTTGTCAAAAAGTTCGAGAGCAGTTCTATTCCTGAAGATTCTTCAGCCAAAACAATTAATGGGACTTCTATTTAAATAGGCCACGGGTAGTGAGAGGCAAGCGGGGAACTCGGATTCTTTATGGTGCGTTAAAAGGTACATATGATTACTGCCCCGATTATCACACATTCCATTCCCACTTAGACTACAATATCTCGAGTCACATCGCAAATCATATAAAATACCTGCTACTATAATTAATCATGGTGTGCCCATCCAAGTGAATATGTCTATTATGAGTCCAATATGCTATGATAAAGAGTCAGTGTCGACTATTTTAGTAATACACGATACCCATAACACTGAATATAGACGTTTCGAATCACATATCATTTTAAACATAGTAATCATCGTAGTTCTCATATTCATGGAAGTGATTATTCAGGGTCGCCATGTGCACTTTGAGTCGAAATCTAGTCATGAATCAACATATTCATTTCTAGTCATTCATCTGCCAATTCCAACTCATAGCGGTAATTTTTGTCAATTATCATGCTTACTCGTAGTCGAGATTCCAAAAATATACGTCATGTCATCTATTTTTCAGTCACTCCTGAGCCTATTCACACTCATAAAAGACCTTGTTCACAGTCACTCTGTTGATATTTGGTCGAAAAGTAGCTCTTGGGGGTCAGCATATCTATTTCTAGTCACCAAGTGAAGATATTTCAGTCATGATAAAATCATTCCCAAGCCATAATGCGTATTTGGAGTCCGCAATGCAATCCGCGTCATATTGTCTAATCTCAGTCACTTATGGCCTGTTCTTACTCATACAGATCGCTATCTACAATCATTATGTTGATGTGAAGTCAAAACTTGCTTTTGGGAGTCAAATTGACCATTTTTAGTCACAAAACGAGGATATTCTCAGTCATTATCTCTCTCGAAGCTTGCCCAAGCGAGGTCAAATGTGCTTAAGTAGGTTCGAAGTATTCCCTCTCCATCCATTTCCAAAATCAACTCGAAGTCAAGAATCCAGAACAAAACAACCAAACACAAAACATATCAAGCCATCTACCACCACCGTTTAGTATCTTAAACTTCTTTCAACACTACACTCATCCTGAACTGGATCACTTTACCCCTGTCCACCCCCTACGATATCAATGTCTGCCGTAACACAGAATCCAGCCAAGTGCATTGCTGTGTTGCCTTTGCCTCCAATTCAACACCACCAGCCTTGAACACGATTGCAACTCCGCACCGTCACTCAATTCTCATCAGTCGAGCATCTAAACGTGACGATGACTTCAGCAGGTTTCAACGGAAAACCTGATCGGCAAAAGCTAATACATGGAAGCGTATATTTTTTAGACCAAGGATGAGGATAAGATCTTGTGGGAGGAATGTATGAAGTTCGCAGTAGATGGTATTCCCGGTGATCTGAACGAGGAGGAATTTCGAAAGGTGGTTGCTGCTTTCAATCAAAAACAGAGAAGACATCAACGGGATGACACCTGGCCAACTAGATCGGTAGGGAGTGTACCAATTGTGCAAAGAAGATACTATAAACTAAGAGCAATCGCAAATGCACATGGAGGGGACCCTTTCTGGGAAGACTATAACGGTTACAAGCCATCGCGCATACCTATCATCCCAGGCACAGAAAGAGGAGTATCAATGGACATTAATGAAGGGGATAACCAATATGATAACAGCTTCGAGGAGAGTATGGACCCGAGGAATTTTCCCATGAACCCTCCTGTGGACGCACCATTCGCTAAGACTTATTCCGAAGAACAGTATCAACAAGGTGACAGGTAGAAGAACAGCCTACACACACACAGAGTCCACCGAAACTGCCCATTCACGACGACCATTACTGCAACACACGAGGGGATCGTAGGACATTCAGAAACCATGTGCAATAAGGATTTCTTCTGTTATTTCTTTTTCTTCCGGGCTGCCAGCTCTTCGTTAGACTTAACCAATGGGGTTTTCGTTGACCGAAGAATCACTTGTGTTTTTGTTTTGCTTCAGGATACCCCAAACTGGGAGTATAGGAGTTTCTTTAAGAGAACTATCTGGACCCAAAAGCTCAGGGTGGTTATTGTTTCTCCCAGATACGCTCTCACTCATTCGAGATATCTGGCATTATCATGGATTTTTAGAAAAAAAGCTTTACCCAGCACTTATTGTTAAATAGACTAGAATTGCAGACGAATTGCAGCCGCTTGGCAGAAGAGTTTCATTGCACATGAATGTGATGTCTTCGTGCATATGATGTTCAACAAGAAGCAAATCGACTGTTTACTCGGGGACATTTCATAACATGCTCGACTGACATTAATGGGTTTGCAAGTCGGCGATTATAAACAGTTTTCGGACTTCTCCAGACCTCACTTCACTCGTTCATACATTATCAAGCTGTCAAAGACCAGAAATTTATGAGCGATAATTCAATACCATAAAATCGAACTTCGTAGAATTATATCAAGTATAGCATCGTATTAAATGTCCAATAACCCTTATTTATCAATCAAAATCAGGAAGTTGGGGAAAAAATTGGTCGATATCAACCTCTGAAGTGGAATGAGTTCTTGCTCGATTTGGTGTCGACCGAACTAGCAATGGAAGACCAATCGCCGCAGTCTTACCAGGCTCATGCCATGATCGTCGCTGAGTAACGTAAATGCCCCGGCAGTCTCCACGAAGTCCCCATTATTCTTTGTAAAACGACATGGGGGTAAAAAGTACAGTATGTGAACGAACTAATCCAGCGGCATTTCAGGGCTAGTGGTAGAAACTGGCATATAATTGATCACCTGTCTTGAGAAGCGGTAATAGAGACATCTCGATTCTCAGTTGTAGTGCTGGAAATTACGAGTTGGTATGGGAATCTTCTCGGTGTGATTTTGGACCGTTCGATAGGGCTGGAGCACTGTAGTACGAAAATCCATGGTAAATACTTCCACCAGTAGATTGCTACTACTTGCCTTGCAAATCTATTAGGTGATGATCGTGTAATGTGGATAGGTAGATCAATTCTTTAGAGTAAATCCAGACCCAAAAGCCGGATCTTATGGGCTGAGAAATGATGAGCAGAAAAACATGAGGATGTGTCGGTCCAACTCTATATAATTAAAAGGAAAAGTTGCGCTGCAAGTCTGACATTCTGACATCACACCAAGGAACTTGCCATGGGAGAAGGACACATGGCACAATTAAGGATTCGTGGTGGAGTTAAAAGTATTCTAGTGCTTTGCCCGTGGAGCCGCCACCTTCACCATGTTGATATGAGGATTCGGTCCAGCACCGAACAGGTGGTACATATGAGTCCAATCAGAAGTGGATTTTGAGCGATTTTGATGCATTCGTATCGTACTCGTATTCAGACTTCAACGTCCTCAGAACTGAGCTTTTATGCATATCGTAAAAGCAGGATGATGATATGTTATAGTGTGAGAGTGTGAGGATGCGAGGATAAGATAAGTAGCACGAAAACGCAGTTGAAAAATAATTATTTCAAATAAGGTTGTGTGACACCGCTTTCATTCTTCAACTAATCAGGTCATTTTGCCATGAATGCATTTACTCTAAACGAATAAGAGACGAGATAAATTTAAGAATTACCTTCACATCGCTCGTAAAATGTCATCCACCTATCAACTACCGCAAATACCGCAATTATGCCTAATAATCGGTTTTTGGATTTGTGTACATGTAAGATGGCTGGGGAACAATTCACGATTGTCATTTTGTATCACCATCGCCCACCTGTGTGTGGTTCGTTATTGAGTAGTACGGGGGTTATCAAACATAGCCATACTCCGTACGCAAAATGATCTACAAATTCTTCCACGGATAAATGTACAAGCCTTCCGGAGCCCTGTTCGTCGCCTTCCTCTTTCATACAATGCAGATCAACCTCGGTGTTGCGTGAAGCTAGAGCAGCAACAGTATACCACCATACTTCATGCTACATGGTCAAGCAGGTGGAAAGTAGACATTTCCAAAGCATCAACATCAATAGCAAGCATATACATCCGCATTTGAATACAACATTACGAGACGAGTTGTTTGATGGTCTCAAATCAAGGTTTGATAACCAAAAAACAATGCCGTTTTCTATCTCCCATGCATTAAGTCATTGATCTAAATTCCAGCTCGGTATGCACTTACGAAGGAATGAAGTCCCATCACCTTGGTTCGGGCATGATCGATTGTCGGTCCGTCCTTACCCGGTCGACTTCCTGCCACCAATTTACTGCTTTTGGAACACTCCGGCACTAGACAGCTTTTCACAATTCCGAGACCAATAGAATTTGACCAGGGCGATTGTTCTCCGACGATGGAGTTACATGCTAGCTGAAATGTACAGGCACCATTGGCAGGTTGCAAAATACCCATCGATGTTGGTCAACAAGCTTGAGAAGTGCACCGTGAGGTAAAAAACGACCTTTTATGTGGCTAAAAAACGTTGATGATGAGCTAAATGCATCGAATTACTGTCACCACTACCGGCACGGCACAGGGTTGTCCCGATCGTTGCTGTCTGTTGCACAACTGCTAATCACATCGTCCGACTCCAAGCCGGACGCTATAAATTAAGTTCAATATTGATACCACCCTATCTGGAACACTACCCCGGCTCTCACTGGAGGTCTTCATGCACTCACTGAGCCTGATGTCCCGGCCCCTCATCATATCTTTACCAAGTCCTAGGTTTCCTGTATTCCGATCGATGTGTTGAGATTTTGAACTGGGATTCTCGGATTCTTGGATTCTGGAATTCTGGAATTCTGGAATCCTATATTAGATCTTGATCCTTCATGACTGTTGACCTAACGATAGCTGTTTCCGGACAAGCAGAAGCCATGACCTACCAATCTTCGCCATGGTAACTGCTGCTAGTACTAGCCCGATACTTCTGTGTGGAGCTCAAGTACTACGAGGGGGTCCTACCATTGATTTGGCTCTGGATACTGTGCATGCTTGGTTCATGCATCTAGGTGGTGGAATGGAAGCTGTTCTCCATTCTCTTAGTGCACGTCATGAAAAACCTTAAAAACACTCAACTCGGTGATTTCAAAGCTGCACGTTGAGGCATCCAAAAAACAACATCTGAAATTTTGGAACCCAAATATCCATTGTTCTTTTTGACTGGCCTTCTTACCCCCTGCACCTTGTCACCAGAACTTGCACAGACAGAAAATGTGGCGCTCCTTAAAATCATCTCCACATTGTACTGCAGCTCACCCACAATCCAAAACTCTCTTGATCTTTATATTCCAAATCCACAAAAGAATTACTACTTTCCTATGCACAGAAATTCTCATCTTGACCAACCCCACCCTAGATTGCATCTCCCAGAATTAGGGTCCACGACGCATTATAGATTTTCTCAAGATTAATGAGGCAGATGAGTTCCCTTGTCTAGTCGTTACATCAGTAATCAAATCTCGAGATTATCAGCTCTTTCTGGACTTTAATAACCTATTTCCTCCTGTCAGGACTTACACGTATGCGACCTCCGGCAAATGAAATCCCCCTTTCTCTCATTACATTAACATTGGAATATATTCCAGATCCTGACATCAGATCATATTATTCGTTGGACAACTAAAACCCCCCTCGCCTTGCTGCATCTCAATTCCGATGCAGCTAGCTAGGCTTGTATTTCCAGAAACCCTTCGATAGCTCTATGGATTAGGTTTTGTGTCATTTCATCTTATTCAAACTTTAATATCCACACCACATGACAAAATAACTGTACACCGCAACCAGCTCCAAATCTATATCGCCAGACATTACCACGGCAGGGCACTGTGCATAAGCTGGGTACTTCCAGAACGGTCGAAACTTCAGCTATCCGTGTGCCCCATAAATGTATATGCTGATCCATTCATACATCATCGACTGCTGTACTTGAAGATTATACCTTTTACAGTCCCCACCAACGTTGGAGTATCTCCGACAACTGCTCCAAATTTCACAATAGAGCAAATAAGTTGATGTAGAAGGTGCTTAGGAAACTACAACTAAACTTACATTCCGATCTACTTGAATTTCATACGAAAGGTGCTGCTCGTAGCTCACCACATCTCATTATCATCATGGCTGGAACAGGTCGCCTAGACCTGTCTAAGCAATCAATACCGGGCCAGCATCTTCTTACACTCGAACGCGACCCTCAAGCACAGCATTCTCAACAGTTTCTAAGTTCGGCCCGGTCCTATGCGGATCTGAACTATCTTTTTGGGGCCCAGGATATAACGATGATTGGGCCCATTCCGAAATCAAATCGACGAAAATCAAGTCAGGGAATTGACCATGTGAAGCATCGTCGGACAAGATCTGGTTGTTATACTTGCCGCAGTAGACGAGTAAAGGTACTCACTTAATAATTGCATTTTTTCAAAAAACGTGCGCTAACTTTCTAGTGTGACGAACACCGCCCAAAATGTGATAGTGAGATTATGAGCTTATATTTTGTAACATGCTGCTAACCTCAAGACATAGGATGCACAAAAGGCAATCGAGAATGTGTATACCCTGATGTGCAGAAATCGGCAAAGGGTGCGGGAGTCACTTCATCTAAAGTTGGGCAGTCAAAGCCATCAGAAAGCCCTGGTTCATCCGAGGATGAATACGAGGAACGAGACGTTGAGCGCCTGGAAGTTATCCGAGATGAAGATGAGATCGAAAGCCAATTCAAGTATTCAAAAAATAGTTCGAACCTCAATGCCAGCGCACAAAGTTCGCATTCTTCCACTCGTATTAAAAGTGGCACAAGGCAAAGCTCAGAGACCCCTTCTTTAATACAAGAAACAGGCTCTTCCCCGACACCGTCAACTGAAGGCTCTATTGGTTATTCTTCATTTGAGCAATTTAGCGGCAGTCCTCAATTCTACGACCAGACATTCACAAATGACTTGGGATCCGACAACTCGAGGAGCAGCTGGTCGCATTTACCACCTGATCTCCAATTTTACCTCACATATTATTGCCAAAATATCACCTTCATGCATTATAGCTTGAGGTCCAACAATGAGGGCTTTATTCACAAATTGTTATTAGATGTCGCCATCCGCCATGAACCACTTCTTTACGCAGTGGTGGGGTTTTCAGCTTTCCAATATGCAGTAGAGAAACGAGAAGGCAAAATCCAAGACTTTCTACAATACTACAACAAAGCAGTATCGTTACTTTTAGTCTCACTAAAGAAAGGTGCCCAGCATACTACAGGTACAATTTTAGCTATCTTACAATTAGCAACGATCGAAGTATGTACCGCGAATGGATTCTCCAGGATGTCATGCTGATTACTTATAGGAGTATCTTGGGGACTGGGCAAATCTTTTAGGCCATCAAAAGGCTGCATACGAAATATTGGTAGATCTATATTCCCCACAAACAATCTTTGAGACAAGTATAGGCCGCGCTATCTTCGGTTGGTATACACGTTTCGATGTCATGGCTGGAATCATGGGTGGTTTTGATGCCTCCATTTCCCGAGAATGGTTTTCATATGCACAGGAATATTTCAAGAATCGAATCACGCAAGAACCAGATAGCCTAGTATGGAAATTGGAGCATCAGGCTTCAGCTATGCGTCTTGTAGGCAAAGACATGTCGACGTTATTTGCGAAGCAAGGAAAAGGAGAAATTACTCATGAACAATTTATCTTTGAAAATGCAAAGATGACACAGCGGATGAAAGACTGGAAGGACGATATGGACCCAGCGCTGCTGGATAGTCAATATTTGGTCACGGAATTTTCCCCAACACAACCTGGGAGTCTATTTGAACCATCCATGCCAGGTGTACTTTACCGTGGGCCGCTTTGGGCGATTAACATAGATTCGATGGATCGGTATGCTGTAGCCTTGATGCATGGACTGCATACTGCTCAGGCGATGCAGACGCCACCCGATTTTGAAGTTATGAACAGGTTATCCGAAGATTTATGTCAGATGTATGAGGCAATTTTGCATCATCCGGAGACACCAAAAGGGGCAGCCGTTGGTCTCCAAGGAGGTCTTGGTATTGCTGTATTTTTTCTATCCAAAGATGAAGCATATAATATGTGGATGCGCCGAAAGTTGGCAACGATAGAGTCTCAGGGGTAATGTGCACTACTATTCACAGATGTTCTACTGCTAATACAACAATCAGTTTCATACAAACTTTCGCGTTCAGGAGCAAAATGGCAGAACTATTTCGAGATAATTCTTGCATGCATTGGTGGTTGCCAAACGACGAAATGTATCATCCAATAATTCGATCTATACGAAAATTTGTCGAGGATCGAACCTCCTCGCCAAAGAACGCTGAGAGCAAAGATGTACAGGACATGAAGGCGGTTTTCTCTGCTATGGATATCAGTGACCAGAGTGATAGCTCACCACAAATGAGCAACAAGGGGAAGTCAGTGGCCACGGACTTCGACGTTGCTAGCAGCTCGGGGTGGTCTCCTGCTCAGACAAGTAATGATTACAGTCAAAATGAATATGGCGGCGACTCTAGGAGCGAACAATCTTCCTGGAACAATCAAACTGGGGGTTATTGATGAATAAGACGATTTTTCGAAAATCAAACGTATCGTATGGACTACTGTAGATTGGAATAGCTGCATGGTGTTCGTTCAAACGCCCGTCGTGATGCCACTTCAGAGTCAATTCAACAATCCAATTCAATAATCCAACCCGAGGACATCGTCTTGGAACCATACCATGAGGAAATTCAAGAGAAGAAGAAATGGGACAATTTACTACGCTTTAGTACAGAGTAGCGCAGTCGTAACGACCGCGTGGTTATAGTCCTCGAAGAGAGCCTGCAGGAGCAGGATCCCATCTTCCCTAGGGTGAAGCAATGGTTATCGGATGCTACAGAGAAAGCATTGCCTGGACGGAGTATGCGGTCGTATGTCAATGCATCATGCGTGGTATAATCGCACAACCCAATAATGTCAAATCAGACACCAAAACTCTAATGAATTAATGAGCAACTATAGACCTTGACGTTGTGCGAAGTGGACAATAAAATAAACATTTGCATAGATATCTAAAGATTTACCTACATATACATGTGAGCACTAGGTTATCTAGATTCCAGTTTCAACAAGCACTACCTGGGCAGGTATTTGATAATAGCATCAATACTAGCGAAATCTTGAATTGAGGTTGGAATGAAAAGTTTTGTGTTTTTTACATACATATTTTCAATCTTCCATACTCCACGTCCGATGCATTCATTGATGATCTCTTAGCCGATGTGATGTATTCTTGTTGTTGGTTCCTTGTAAGTTGTAACCGACCTTATCCAGAAGTAGACTACGGGGAGGCATGTGCCCATGCGCGCAATAAGGTTCCCTAAGCTTCATGAAATTCAATGGTTAATTGAACCAACGACTCTACTATCACAGCACATTCAGAAGCGCACAAGTTATCGTCCTAAGTCGGAAAATAATACGAGATAATTGATATCGGGAATCACAACATCGACCATGAATCGACCAGGTATGAGGCTCTCCAACTCCCTTTTCCACCCCACAACTGCCCCGCTGCACGGCTGCCAGAGAGAAGGGGGACAGCTTGCATTGGATGGCATTTCAAATGCGAGAGAATACCGGATGTCAGAAGGATACGGGATCCAGCGGACCGCCAGCAGTGTATAGGCGCTCTAAGGCGTGGACTATGGATGGACCGCGGGAATATTGCACAAGCTCTGCATGAAGTTGGATTTTATAACCTAGATGGAATCGGATGAGAGAGCTTCCATGAAGGGATAGTTGTTAGATCTGCTGGCGTAGTTTGAAGGGGTACAATTGACATCTGACATTCGAAGGCAAAGGGAGTGCTCGTATAGCTGGAAAGTGTTTGGGCGCATTAACCTGCAGCTATCATGGGGCTTTCATTGAACCTTCTGTACCGTAGGGACTAGTTACGAAAATATGCTGACTTTGTTTTCTCAGGTGTAGGACCGCAGGCCATGCGTGGCATACCCAATGGATTCCCAAATCAACAGCAGATGCAGAACAGGAACGTATCAAATAGGATACCACCCAGTGGGAAAATGGGTACGATTCACACCCCTCATATTTGAAACAATAGCAGGAGACTTCATGTATACTGATGTTTGTCTATGACTTCTAGCAAACAACGGAGCGACATGGGCATTTGGAGGTGTACCGATGGGGGGAGCAGGTCTAGGAAATCCACGTCCAAATAATGGACCTATGGCAAGCTTTGCACAAACAATAGGAGGATCTTCACAACCAGCAACACCACTAGATTTGTCGTAAGTCGTTGCCTACTTTCGATTTTTGTACTTCCAGGTTTTTGTTGAGAGTACATCTTCTTGCCGCAACCTTTTCCCTCCTTCCCACAACAACTACTCAAATATGGGAAAAGCACGTTTATCAAGACGTGGTGTCCCCCCACGTCCATATTCTCCCGGAAGGTATAGAAATTCAAACAATCTTCAAATATGTACAGTCAGATTCCATACGTTAGAGATGCAATTCATAGCTCTGTCGCATTCAGCACAGATTATACTGTCTGCTTAAATCTGTCTGAGTTTCGTTATTTTCTTTCTCAGCACTACAAATCTTGAAAAGTTGACTTTGCTCACATCATTTAGTGAGTTTCCCTCACTATCAGGAAACCAGCCTCAGCACAATCAGTCAACATGGGGAGCGGCAGGAGCACGTAATATTGGCCCAGCAAATATACGGTTACAGCAATCAGCTGGATTATCCGCACAACATGCTGCGCAACAACAGCAACAAGACGAGCTCTTCAACTCATCAACTCAATTATCGAACAATTCGGGTGGTTTCAGATTTGGGGCTCAAAATGCAGTTGGTCAGTCTTCACAACCGAGAAGCGCAGATGATTTTCCACCTCTTGGAAATTCGAATGGAGAGATCGGCCAAGATCGAAGCTCTGGTCTATTACAAAATGTGGGGTTTGGAGCCGGTGGTGGATTGGGATTTGGTTCTAATAACGTACCACAGCAACAGCAAGCCAGGAGTAATGGCCTTTTAAGTGCATTATCTACTGGTGGTCGAGTGGCACCAGGTAATAGAATTGATTCACCAGCAAGTTTGTCAGGTGAGTAAATTGCCAATGTTGATTGGCTGATATATTATTGTCCTGCTCGGCTAATCTTATCTTTTATTCAGGCCCATCCGCAAATAGATCCCCAATAGACTCCAGCCGGCAAGGTTTACCACGCCTTGGAGAGAATGAAGCCGGAGTATGAAAAAGAGTCCCTCTAATGTATTGAGCTTCTGCTGATTAATTTGTCTAGAGCTTTCCAGACACTAATTTTGGCTCATCAAATCCAATACCACTCAGAGAAGACGACAATCAACAATTTAATATGCCTACAGCAACCAACTCTCGACCAGATGGCCCATCAACCCTAACTCAAGCACAAGAACTCGACCCTAGTTCTCTATCAAGAAGTGCTGATAACGCGGACTCTAAAGTACAAGATCCGTTAGCTCACATGAGTGATGCCGACAGATTTGGACTTAAGGGATTTTCTTATATGATGAACAATTTTCCCGACTATGCTGCTCTTGTTACTGGAACCGACATCAGCCACCTGGGTCTCGATTTAAATTCTGAGCAGTGAGTATTGGCTGGATAGCTTTCTGCCTTTCAAACATAATATTTTAGCCATGCTAATAATTCACAAGACCCATCTCAAGCCAAATCTACTCTTTATGGGATAACGAGCCCCCACGACCAGATGTCGCTCGTTTCAACCTACCGGAATGTTATCGCGTTCTTAATGTTGCTCCTCTCGAAAGCAAGATGCCCAATTTCAACGAAGAAGCCCTATTATTTATGTTCTACAGTAATCCGGGTGACAAGCAGCAGCTTATGGCAGCAAGGGAGCTGTAAGTTAAGTACCTATTCCATCGCAAGTCATTTACTAATACACTTGTTGCTTGATAGTGGCAATAGGAATTGGCGTTATCATAAAAAGATGCAAGTTTGGCTTACTAAGGATGATTTGATGGTTCCTCGTCAACTCACCCAACAGATGGAGCAAGGCTACTACATCTTTTTCGATGTAAAGACTTGGTCAAGACAACGAGTAAGTATTGAGATATTCTATCCCTAGTATGTTTCATTAACTTTATTGTAGCGGGAATTCACATTATCTTACGATGATTTGGAAAGAGTCGAAGATCGGTTTTAATTTACACAATACAACCCATAGTCAAATTTGGTCTCTTTTTCTCGACGGGCGGAATCATACATTTTCATGAATACCGCACGTATCGATCAAAATAACATGAATAATTTCACACGGCTGAATACATAGTATCCTCGTTTCTCTAATTAATGGCACAAGACTTGTATTTGCTACGGGGCATATATGGGGCTTGGCTTTCTTTTTTAGCGGAGTACATAGGAGGGAATAACTTGCTCTGGCTGCTGGACTCTTATATGACTGGCTGGCGTTTCGATTGTGGAGCTGCGCAAAAATTCGCTGGATGGGGGACGGTTGCGGGTATGATGGGCAGAGAGAGGGATCTGACGCAGCAATTAAATGGATTGTGCGTTGCCTCATCTTATACTACTTTGTGATGTGGTGTTGAGTGAATTGAATGTTTCTTGATGATGATGTGCGGTGACTATGGTGTGACGAAAATAAAAAGATTCTTAGTATCTAGTCTAGACATTCTCATTAGAATTGGTGTCGATAGAACTGGTTATCTGCTCGAAATCTGGCATCTCTAAAGAACTCACAATCAAGTCATACGCGATATACCTAGGTACTGGAAAATCTCAAGATTTTAAAATCTCTTCATTATGATCATTACATACAAAGTCCAACAATCAAACTACATACAGTACAATAAAATACAGTTCGAAGAAGAAGAAAATATATACACGAAAACATCAACTAAAGACCTCCGGAACTTCTTTTGACTTTTAAGACTGAAACCTCAAGTCGAGCCTCCAGGGCATATCCATTATCCATTAACACATCACATCATATCCTCCCCGCAATACATTCCTCCTCCACCTCCACCGTCCTCACCACATCAATATGTATATCCCATCCTCCTTCCTTTTCCTTCCGCCCCGATTCCTCCGAGAGGGACATGTAGATATCATCATTTTCTCTATCCTGGTTCCTCGAGCGATTCCGCGATCGATCGCCGCCGAGCGATAATTTGTCCCGTCGCACGGAGCCCAGGATATTGCGTCCTAGGTTCGCGATATTATGGGTGCTGTTGGATACTGGATTGCTGTTTAGTGGTGATATGACTGATGCGGTTCCGATGTGCATTTCCTCGTCTGAGATTATTGGGGACGTGCTGCTTGTTTTGCTCAATTTACTAGAACGGTTGGTGTAGGTGCCGAGTTCGAAAATGCTCGTTCCGACGGTTTGGTCGAGGTCGGTGTCATTATCGTATTGGGTGTCTTCTTCGCGGCCGTTTAGAGGAGTTTGGGAGCTTTGACTGTTGAGGACTTTTGAATTGGAGTTTGAATGTGATTTTGATTGGGGGAGAGAGTTTGTGGATTTGGAGGTTGATGTGACGCCGAAACCGGAAGGTGGGACTGGGACACTTTTGAAGATATTTGGGGCACTGAAAGAAGATTGGGACGGGCGGGTGGGGTGAGAATTAAAGATTTTGGGAATGTAGGTTGCGAAGAAGACTTTTGTGGCGGGGATGGAGGTGCATATCTAGTTGGAAAGTGTTAGAATCCGGAAGTATAGAAGAGAGGAGCATTGAGAGTCTTACAATTCCAACATATAATTCTACAGCTGCGGAAACCCATACGGGGAAAGAAGCCCATACTTGGTCATATGTTTGTGTTACTTGGTACATGTAGTATGTACGAATGACACCTGCAAAACATGATAGGAAACCGAGGGTGAAGAGGAAAGAGACGATGAGGGTTTGACGACGGGGAAGATTTGTTGAGTACTGTTTTGTTCTAGTTAGGGTTTGGTTTGTGAACGAGAGGAATGAGATGACTAACCACTGTACGGATGGGAAGGATGACCACGAGAAAGTCTGTAAGAGTGTTGATGATCCCGGCAAGAAGAAGTGTAGAAGACTGGTCTATGCAATTCGGTTGAGGCTCGTCTGTTATTTTCCAGTAATCCTGCGGGGTCTATGACGTGTTAGTATGTACATTATTGCTTGCACATCTCGACACTTGCCCCCCGGTCGGCATATCAAACATAAGGAAAAAGCAATGATTTTAACTAACCTACATTGAAACACCAACACGATACAAAATAAGGCTCCTTGTAACCCGACTATACAAATAGCAGCCAGAGTCACCCGTCTCCAGAATATAGTAGCACTGGTTAACATGCGACGAACAAGCATCAACATGGACAATTTTGTGAAGGTGCATGCTGATGCGAACATGATCTCTATTAAGAGAACCATCTTCAGTCCGAATTCTACATGTGAGCTTGGGATATCGTACTGGATTATTGTTAGTGACGGTTACAAAGAAGGGTTTATATGGTGAAAGGGATACATACTTGATGTCTGGTCCACATGAATTTCAAATCTGCCAGCAGACTCAGAACGAAGAACCCGGTCGTAGGAATCTACATCATCATGACATTAGCATTTCCAATCTTATAATATCGCGCCCATCTTCTTTGCATGCGCAGACTCTGGTCGGGATAATAGGTAAAACCAACCATAGCAAACAAGATCATCATATCATCCGCCCCAAACGAAGCCCTCAGTCTTGTCCTCGTCCATATCCTCAGTGAAATAAAGCAACATAGTACTACGTATAGAACGATATTCAGAATGACATTCCCCCATCCATGCGTTTCTGGATCGACGTAATTGGGCTCAGGCCAAGCGGCTATTACCCAGGCGGGAGGTTTCTGCATGTTGCAAGTGGTCTCTGCGACTTCAGACGTAAAAAAAACTCGTTGGAGATCGAAAGGAAAGGAAGATATAATGTAGATCCAAAAAAAGATTGCGAAAGATTGTGGAGTGAATGAGACACTACTAGCTTCCTATTATTCAATAGATAGTGGGAAGGGTTCAAAAGAAAGTAAGATGCATCTCATATCAATACGTCAAGCAAAGACAAAGATGTATGTGCAACCAGGACTAGTATTAACCAGTAAGAGAAATTAGAGACAGCAATCAGCAAAAGTAAGAACGAGAAGAGAAAGAGAGAGAAAGTAAACTTTTCAAAGAGGGTACTACGGCGATTAAAACCGAACGGTCTGCGGTTAAGCATTCTCGCTGTGACCAGCCTCAAATCCATGAAAAGCGCATCTCATCTCTTGCACTTAGACCAGTCCTGCAATTCCTCTTCTTACTAAGTTACCACATCTACGGAGTACGGCCTTGCCGTGCCGCTGATGTGGAACTATCATTGGCCACTTGGAGACCATGAGGAAGAACATGCGGAGAATCCTTACAATCTTATCTTTCATCCAATCCAGATGCAGAAAGAGAACTCTCAAACGATAGATCATGGGAGTAGATATCTTGGACATCTCCGATGGATGGGATAATTTATAATAAAGACTCCGTGCAGAATTCGGGTGGATGTCGCGCATGCACATGCGCATGCATCAGTGGCAATGCAAATAGCAATTACACAGACACAGATATATATCAGACCCTGCTTCCCCCGCTGGCTTTCTATGCCTCTGACTCTAGACTCTAGACTCTAGAGCAACAAGGCCTCGGGTTTAATACCACATGGGATGAGAGAATGGTTCGATTTTGATCATAAGCTTCACACTATTGAGAATATTTTTCGGTCATTGGCTTAGAAAGTATTTGAGACTTGCGATGAAAGGGAGATTGTGATAGGCAGTGATTTTAGCGATACCTAGTCCAGCTCGGAAAAAAAGGTTGAACGAGAACATCAAAATGTTTAAGTGTTATGTCTGTGTGTCTGCGCTATTGAAGGCTCTCGGACTAAAACTTTCAATAATGACTCGAGAGAAAAACGTGGTGTCGTACTTATGGATTTGATTCAAATCGTGGCTATACAATGCGGCGCTGATTACTCTAGTGTTTTACATCTTCACTTGTAGTCTTGGGCTACATTTCAACATTCAAGTACAAGGAAGGTACTTTGGTTCAAAAGTATCTCGCGTGATTTATTTTTTTCATACTTGCGGTCAGAACAGTTCTGATAGTGAAGAAAAGTTCATAAAATCCATAAGCCATGACCAATAAAGGCGAGGAAACAATGATATCCCATTACACATAACCACCCTTTCATAAATGTCGATATATCTATGAAGCTTTCTTTGCGAACTCGACTCGTAAAATCAAATGCTTGAATCCATAACCATCCATTTTTTCGCAAGCCTTTGCAGCATCCGATCTTTCCTGGAAACTAATAAATGCAAAGCCCTTTGCCAAACCAGTTTCTCGGTCCTTCGCCAAAAAGACTCTTGTGACTCTGCCGAAACGTTCGAACATATCCCGAAGTTCTTGTTCCTCGGCCATTTCTGAGACCTATTCTGTGGATTAGCGAAGCAGGTGGGATTAATGGAACATAGGAAACTTACGTTAGTGACACGTAGAGTAGCCAAATCATCTCTCTCAAACTTGCCGCCACCCATTCTCTCACCACCAGCGGTACCGCCATTTCTGAGATGAGGTGGTACGTATGAAGATTTGCCAGCACCAAGACCACCTGGACCCTCTGGAGTATCTGCGTGACCAGCTGCAACATCGACTGCTCCTTCCTCGCCCAAAGGTGCCATTGTGCCTTTGAAAGGACACTTAGCTGTGAAATGCTCTCCGCTACAAATACGACATTTGACTTGCTTGTCCTTCAACTTGTTCTTCATAGCTCCGGCATCCGAAACCTCCTCCTTGGCGTCCTTTCTCCAGTTTGTGCTTGGTCTGAATATAATGTTCTCTCCCACACTGGTTGTATCCGAAGCAGGCTGAAGTTATAAACAAATCAGTCAACATTCCCCCCTAGATTGGAACCCTTTTAAACTCACCCCTGCAGCATCCTTTTGGGACAATCCAAATTTGCCCCAGGACTTTCTCTCAGCAACTCTTGGGTTCACGATTTCTTTGACTTTCGTGAATCTGATGCGGCGAGTAGTCTTGACCTTCTTTCCGTCATCGTTGAATCTCCAGGTTACAATCGTTTGCGTTCCATCTTTATTGGTAGTGGTGGTTGATTGTGGGAGCTCGTTAGAATCCTCGAGATCCTCATCATCGGCCCAATCGCGATTACTATGGTATTTGTTAGAGTGTGCTGATGCTTGGTTAAAAATGCCGAATTTTCTCACTTTGCGACTCTAGACATTTTTTGATAGGTGTGCTTTTTGGCTTTGTAGGGTGATGTAATGCGCTTGTTACGACCCCAAGATACGAGCCTTTTGCTGTATCAAGCTCCCTTAATTATCTCTGCGAAGATTCGATGGCAGAGTGGTTGATCGTGACTTCGATTGTGGGGTGGTTCGATGTTCAACGTGAAGTTCTTATTTAAAATATCGCTTTGAGTGGGTGGGCAAATTTGCTAGGGCGAGCTTTCGTTATCCAATAATCGGCCTAACCACTTCCGGCACTAGCGGGGTAACATACAGCCTTGTCTTGCTCCCGTCGCACCCTTTCAAGGCTCTTCAATGCTTTCAAAGCATTCGACCAACTGTTTTTTTGACTCATCTGAAAAAAATCTATTTAACCTGATCAACAACGGTCTTGTAGGATTACTAGTAGGATCATTGAGGTAGTATTGTGGCAAGTTTCATGATACAAACTTTCATTTCGTTGTGAAGAAATTCAACTTCATTGAGTAGGCAATTCAAGTAGTTTAGTGAGCCAGTCAGTCATGAGGAGGGATCGCATCCTACCTATTATCAAGTTGACCATATCAGGGTTGGCAAAAGAAATGCGAAACTATTTTCAAGTTTAGACAAGTCAATAATTCATTATGGTGTTCATGTATCACATCTTATCATATTTGTAACACACTCGAGAGAGGTCTGGGCATGAGCTTTTAGCAAAGCCAAATATCAGTTTGAAGTAGAGTAGAGTACAAAAGAGTCACCAGTGTCAAATGTGATTAGATGTTGGGATTGTTAAATTGAGTCATGAGAGGGGATGTCATATTATTCGTCGTCTTATCCTAATTTTTATACACAGCTAGAGTAATGCCATTTTCCGTAATTTTGCCTCATAACACATTCCCTGAACGCTTAAATCTAGCGAGCAGTATTGGTTGCTCCAACGCCTTTTGTCCCAAAGCTATGAAGAGTAAAAAAAGAGTATTTATGATAAGGGAAATTGTTGCTTATACGCAACATATGAGTACAAAAATACAATGAACGGTGGTTCTATGTGTGCCCCTGGATATCGCTAAAAAGAGTTGAGATGAAATGTGCCTATATTAATGTTTTCAAGGCTTCTTCTCGCCGTCCTTAGCCTCGCCTTCTGATGCGCTGCCCTCAGTACCTTCTGGCTTGGCCTCACCGGACTCGGCGCGGGCCTTGTGCATCTTATCGAAGAGGTTCAAGCTAGCCATTTGGAGTTCATCGGTCTTCTCTTTCAACTCAGCAGCAGTAGCAGTACCTTCTCCGGACTGGCTCTTGCTGACGAACTCACGGAGTGCGGTGATCTTCTCACGGATACCATCAGCCTCGGTCTTGTCAAGTCTATCGGCGAATTCGTTCAAAGCCTTCTCGGTATCATTGAGAACACTGTCAGATCGGTTGGCAGCCTCGATAGCAGCCTTACGCTCCTTGTCAGACTCGGCATATCTCTCAGAGTCATCAACCATGTTTTGGATCTCAGCGTCAGAAAGACCAGAGCCGGAGGCAATGGTGATGGAGTGATCCTTGTTGGTTGACTTGTCCTTGGCGTGGACGTGGACGATAGCGTCGGCATCAATGTCAAAAGTGACCTCAATCTGAGGAACACCTCTGTGAGCAGGTGGGATACCAACAAGTTGGAAGTTTCCGAGCATCTTGTTGTCGCGGACAAGCTCACGCTCACCTTGGTAAACCTTGATCTCGACAGCAGTTTGGAAATCGGCGGCGGTAGAGAAGATTTGAGACTTCTTGGTAGGGATAGTAGTGTTTCGGTTGATCAATCTGGTGAATACACCTCCGAGGGTCTCAATACCAAGAGACAATGGGGTAACATCCAAGAGAAGGACGTCGGTAACGTTACCAGCGAGAACACCACCTTGAATAGCGGCACCCATGGCAACAGCCTCATCTGGGTTGACGGACTTGGCGGGGTCACGACCAAAGATAGACTTGACTGACTCGCTGACCTTTGGCATACGGGTCATTCCACCAACTAAGATAACTTCTTGGATATCCTTAGCGGCGAGGTTGGCATCCTTCAAAGCCTTTCTTACTGGCTCGATAGTGCGGGTGATCAATGGATCGACGAGCTTCTCGAGTTGAGATCTAGAAAGCTTTTGGTTAATGTGCTTTGGTCCAGAAGAGTCGGCAGTGATGAAAGGAAGGTTGATATCAGTTTGCATGGAGGAAGATAACTCGATCTTAGCCTTCTCAGCAGCTTCACGAATACGTTGAATGGCCATACGATCACCGGCGAGATCAATGCCAGAATCCTTCTTGAATTGTTGAACCAAGTGGCGAACCAAGTGGATATCGAAATCTTCACCTCCCAAGTGAGTATCTCCGTTGGTAGACTTGACTTCGAAAACACCCTTTTGGATCTCGAGGACAGAGATATCGAAAGTACCTCCACCCAAATCGTAGACAGCGATGATCTTGTCCTCATCCTTCTCCAATCCGTAAGCAAGAGCGGCAGCAGTTGGCTCGTTGACGACTCTGAGAACGTTCAAACCAGCAATTTGACCAGCATCCTTAGTGGCTTGACGTTGGGAATCGTTGAAGTAGGCTGGAACGGTAACAACGGCATTTTGAACAGGCTTGGTAAGGTAAGCCTCAGCGGTTTCCTTCATCTTTTGCAAGACGAATCCACCAATTTGCGATGGAGAGTATTTCTCGCCGCGAGCAGAAACCCAGGCATCACCGTTTGTGTGTTGGACGATCTTGTATGGAACCTCCTTGATATCACGTTGAACCTCAGCGTCAGTGAACTTTCGTCCGATCAAACGCTTTGTTGCGAACAAAGTGTTCTCTGGGTTGACAACAGCTTGACGCTTTGCGGATACACCGACCAATCTCTCACCATCTTGTGCGAAAGCTACTACGGATGGAGTTGTACGGGCACCTAGGAATGGAGTTAGTGCGGGGTCAATGGCAGAGGAATTGGGAGGTAGCAATTACCTTCTGAGTTTTCGATAATCTTAGCAGTTTGTCCTTCCATCACAGCGACCGCTGAGTTAGTGGTACCTATTGAGAGATTAGTATGCGATTCAAAAAAAGCTTGCTTGCCACCGCATGGGATAAACATACCCAAATCAATACCAATGACTGGTCCCTTGACCTTCTTGTCCGCATCATCTGAGTTCCATCGTCTGGTAAACGATGATCCTAATGGTGTGCGGAGAGGTGCTGTGCGTGTGACGGATGAAGTTGCTCTTGGAAGCTATTGAGCAAGAAAAGTTAGCTATTGTGTTGATAATGTCATAGTAGTTACTCTGCTTCAATTCGAGAACTTACAGCTCTGGAAATTCTGGAAGCAAACATCTTTACTTGTATTGCTTCTATAGTAAAGGAAACTCAATTGTAGAAGTAATATGAATTAAGTATGAGAAGAAGGAATAGGTAGAAAAAAGATATAAGTAGATGATTTACAAGATTGAGGCGATGGAGGGAGAAAATATAAATCAACGGCGGGCCACAAGGAAAAAAATGTCATTTTTAGTTTTAGCGTCTTTTTCTTGGTCAATTGGTAGAACATCATCGAAACCACACGCACGTGATCGAATATAAGGATGCTCGGACACATTCGATGTGGCAAGGATTATGAGGTTATTAGGTTATCGAATGTGTGCTTATGTCATTATCCACTCAGAATGCGGGATACGATTAGTTGCCGAAACTAGTGAACTTGACGTCGTGAAATGAATATTGAAACTTCGAGCTTGACATTTATCAATCACAACATCTGTTTCTGTATCTCCTTATTAATACACTTTACAGTTTGGAAAGCTTCAAATTATCCCTTTCATCAAAAGAATAGGAGTCTTTCGAAAGACCATATATGGGTGCATAAATAATATTCAGTACCTTCACAGTTTAATCGCAGCCTGTTACTTAAATACTTTGCTAACAATCTGTTGTGCATGGTTGCAATATCTTGAATGCATGACAGTATGGCTGTCAAAGAAGAAAGCTCGTGAGTCTGTACAACGTAATGCTTGTTGTAACTATTCAGTTCTGATTTACATTCTGATGACTTGTACTTTGATAGATATCATCCTACTGACGGCTTAATTCGATCGTCGCCACGGAAATACTATCGAGCCTCCATTAGCCCAAGGTACGGAAGATACCCTATTGTGCGCATTCATGTTCGAAACAGATCCAAAGATGTAGAAGTTTATTCGTTGCTGCAGAATTTTTGATGGCATCTATCAACTACTATTTCTTATGAAGAATCAGTCGGAATTGCACTGCCTTCCATAGCAGTTGCTGGTGTATGCCGAATAGAATGACGCGATTTCTAACTTTTTATAGTCATTGGCAATTGCACGATTTGCTGAGCTCTCCGAAACAGTATGTTATTTACTATCCGAGTTCGCACGACATAATTTGTCTTGATACAAAATCTCGCGAGCGCGAGCTTCTCGCAACTTTAAAATACGAGCCGCGATGTTTGACGGCCGCAAAGGATTGGGTATGCGCCGGAGGAGATAGAGGACAGTTCACAAGCTTTTATGTGGGAGAAGGAGAGGGACCTGGCAAGACTGATTCGCTTTTGGATTTGAGTGCTGATGCTGATGCTCGATTACCTCTCATCCTACAACCGTCAGCAAGACCAACTCAAAGACAAACTACCGATGATTCCCGAAGATCTAGTCCTGACGCTACTACTCCGCATGTGTCCAAGAAGATAGGTTCCGACGTAGTGAACTGTATAACACTTTGGTTCCCTTCAGAATCATCGTTGCCCATGGGATACAAGGAACCTGTTGCTGTTGCAGCGCTCAACGACAGCTCTGTTGCTATACTCAACTTACATGACTCCGAGATGGTAGATGCTCTCACTTATCCTGATTATGTGAACCGTGCTGTAATATCACCGAAAGGAAACATCCTCATTGCAATGTATGCCCCTCAAGTTCACTCGACGTTGAGACTTTATTAATTTGAAATAGTTGCGATGATCCATTCCTCTATATCCACAAAAGGCAGCCGAAACAGGTCTCAAAAACTCATTTTACGTCGCATGTGAATGAGGAATATGAGTGGGTGTTCTCTGGTAGGATTCAGCTCAAAGGACAACGACCATCGGACAAAAGTGCCATGAGAGGTTCATTTGCAGCATGCTTTTCTAATTCGGGCAAATATCTTGCTGTGGCCACTCAGTATGGAGTTATATCGATATTCTTGACCGAAGGACTAACTAAAGACGATGTCGATCCATTGGAAGTTAGTTTTACTACGTCACGACCTAATGTTGAATCTGGGGCTGTTAGAGCCATGGAATTCTCGCCAAATAATTTTGATCTACTAGCTTGGACTGAAGCTAGTGGACGTGTTGGAGTAGCTGATGTCCGGGATTTGTTCACTTCCAGGCAAGTAATCGATATCAATGCTCGAGGGGAGGGCGTTGAACGAGTCTGGGTTACTGAGCGCTCAAATAATCCTATGTCAATAGAGGCTAGGTTAGATGCCAGGCTTCGTCCTTCTCATACAGAGTCATCTTCTGAGGCTTCTGCCAGCGCAATACCAGACTATCTAGGCTTGGATTTTGATCAGCAACAACTAAGGAGCCTTGCCCGCAATTTGACAGACAGACACCAACTTCCACCAACAGCTGATGAGATGGAAATATTACAGGCACATCGAACAGCTCGTCGACAAAGGGATGCAATTCGTGAGGCCCGAGAAATGGGAACCACCTCTAGATGGGGTATTTTGGAAGGAGGCAGAATGACAGATATTTTTGCTGAAACAGAACGCCGCATATCTACAGCTGGTCTCCCAAGTGCTTTACGAGAATTTGTTAATTCTGACCGCACACCGGCTTCCTTTCGAGCCTTCATCGATAGACAGAATCAGGACCGTGAAAGGCGTGTAGTACAGAACGAAATTAGGAATGTAATCAGGCGACAACAAGCATCATCAGTATTGGATAATACCACCGTGGATGCCGAGTCTGACAGAACCGTACGGACAAGTGCAGATACCTTTTCTGGGTTAGAGCGTCTGTCACTTGCTCCTCGTCTTCCAACCATTGGCTATGAAGCAGCCCCTAATGCCTGGGCTGAACTTGAAGAAGTGTATCGAACACGGTACTCTAGAGATCAACCTGACGATGAAGAGGAAGAAAATCACGCATCCGCTCAAAGACCGAGACAGCCATGGCGTCCCTTGGATGCGCTCACTGGACTTAGTCTTGACGTGAGGAACGATAGTAATATATTGAGACGAGAGCGAGAGGGTAGGAGTGAGCCAGTTGACACCATGGGGCTCGCTTGGAGCGAAGATAGTAGGCTACTGTATGTGCTTTTGTATATTTTTTTACATTCACAATGCTGACCGTTCACAGATACGTTGGTGCCGGAGATGGAATTCATGAATATCAGGTGAATGTGGCGGGACGAAAAATATTTCCTCATCGTGTATTACAATAGTTGTATATTGAATGAAATTTGGAAGGTCGTTTTGGGAAGTGGGAGGGGATCGGAGTCTGGAAATTTGTTGGCATGGCGCATATCAGAATGTCCATGAATTGATTTGCTTGTGAAGCACAAAATCTGACTCTTGAAAGTCTTCTATCGAATTAATAATAATATATACAAAATCTCATTCTATTTGTCAATTATCTCGATTTCTCAGTTATGAAAGCGCATCAACCAAGAAGGCAAGCATCCCGAATATGCTTGATCAAAGGTCATGTGACATTGTGCTGCCTAAACTAAACTGATTTGAGCTTCACATGCTTGCCTAGCTACCGTGGACCCTTGATGCCTTGAACTGTGTTCCATGTTTAGAAAAATGCATAGCTAGTACCTATGATATTAAAAAAAATTGACTGATACATGTCTTTCTAGGTATGGGTACGAGTACAAGTATATAAGCTTCATGTCAACTCAATTCTATATTGCTGACTAGCCAAAATTTATCTTCTCTTCCAACTTTTCCCCTCGATAAATTATTAAACGAGAACGACATCATCATTATGGAAACCAATGCTCTTCAAGCCAATCAACCGGGATTGTTGCTCGAGACTCAGGAGTTCACTGTCTGTTTTGCGATCCAAAGCTATTTACACACGCTCAAAGTAGCAAGCCATCCAGGCTTTTGGAAAATAGACAATGAGACTAATCATAAAGCGTAGAATCAGTTCCAAGATGAACCACAAATTTATGAACAATTCATAGGAATTATTCAGAATTTTCATGAAGACGAGGAAATGCCACGCGACGATCTTGAGGCGACAGTTGGACAGATTTTGCAAGGTCATGATGATCTGATTCAAGAGTATCAGCGCATCCGAATACTTTTCGATGAACGAGAAGATTTTGAGCTGGCTAGGAAACAGGTAGAGGAGGAGAAGAAAGAAGCGCTGCGGAACATCGCAAGTGCGGAAAGACAAGCTGCGCATATACGAGCTTGCGAGGCGCAGAGTAAATCCACGTTACTGCGTCTCCCGAGGGAAATCAGAGATGCGATTTGGAAAGATGTCGCGCAGGGGAACATTGTGCATATTTCCCGGATCGATGTTGAAGATGCTTCTTCGTCGTCGTCGACATCTTTTAAGTATCATTCGTGCGTGGCGATCACTGGACTCAAAAGCTCGGCTTGTCCCGCGGGAGAAGGAGATCATGCGCTGTGTGCGAGAACCAGCCGCTCGGATTTCCCTTCCTATCGTTTGGTGTGCAAACAGATGAATCTGGAACTTCCGGAAGCGAGAACAACTTTCTTTGCGGAAAACGCGCTGCATTTTGATAATGTGGAGGATGCGGAGATGTTTATTTTCGCATTGAAGGAGAGGGATAGATCGACTATCACGCATGTCAGATTACCGGTTCCGTATTCGTTGGCGATGAATGATTACAGTGATGGAATGGAGTTTAGAGCCTGGGAAGCGATTATGAATTACTTTAGTTGTCCCTGGGTACGATCAACGGTATGTGTTCTTTCTTCTCTTTTCTTTGATTGTTGGGGCTTGTGTGGATTGTTGGAGCTGTGAGTGCTGATTTACTTCCTCACATTAGCTTCATTTAAATGAGGACGATTCGAGGTTCTTGAAAAGACCATGGTACTTTTACTATTCCTCCTGTTACTATCACGAAAACAGGGACCGCATGTACAAAAAATGGCAAGTCGGATTCGGTGACACAAGTTGGGATGTAGATATTGCATCTCTTCGCCACAAAAGCGAACCTAGAATCGATATTGGGATGAGCTATCCGGAATACGGTGAGTCATCTCCATCTTCTCATCTTCTCATCTCTTTTCTATTCATCAGTTAATCAACCCCCACCCCTACCTTCCCCGAACAACTAACTATCTAACACCACCCTCCCCTCCAGCACAAAGCACGCTCTTCCGTCTGCGTCCCCGCAACCACATCCCTTTCACAACACAATTCGACAATCCCCCACCATGGCTACGCTCCCTCCTCCAATTCCGCCAATACTCCGGACTGAATTTTCATTTCTGGGCCTCCAATCCCACCTCTAAAGAGTGTGGAATTGTGCGCGTTCCTCGACACGAAGCGTTTATAGAAGCCTTGCAGGAAGAAGTATCGCACTCGGAAATTGGTCCTTGGAAACTTGTGCAGTTTAGACGGAAGCCATTTGGTAATCCGGATAGGGCTTCGTTGAGGAATTTGTAGGTGTTGGAGATGGGTCATGTAGGGAGAGTGGCTTGGATGATGTAATATCACATGCATTTATAGTTAGAGGTTTGAATGGCTATGAATTGCGTGGAAAGCTGTGCATGCCTGCTTCTGTCAAAAAAACAACCCCCTCCCCGATTCCTATAAACTCAAATGGGTATTACTCTCCTTAGCAAGTTCCATTTCATTTCTCGCTTGATTTCTAATCCTCACTCCATCGTGGATTTTTAACCTTTCCATCATCATCATCAATTAACACCCACCCTTCCCCCTCCCGCCTCAACTTGAACATTCGCTCTCCCATTTCCTATAAACCCATAACTCCAAATCCACCTCCAATCATCAACACACCCCAAACCATCCACACTCCCCCGATTCTCGTTCTCTCCGCACCACCCTCACTAATCGTACTCGGTGCACTCGTTCCTATCGCTGTTCCAGTCGCCGTCTCCAAACTACTCGTCCTCGACACCGCCGATGCTGCAGTACTACTACTACCACTACTACTAACACCCGTCACCCCCAACGACGACGACAAACTCCCCGCTGCACTTCCACTCACACTCACACTTCCACTCGCCGTAGTTCCATTACCCACACTTCCCGACCCGGAAGAAGCCGTAGAAGTAGTCCACACAGTCGTCGTTCCCGTCGGGGTCGGCGTTACCGTTTTCGTCGTGCTGGTTATTAATTCCTCGGTGCCCGTATTCGTATTTATTCCACTTTGCGATGTAATCTGGGGTATTGGAGTAGGTTTCACTGTCGCTTTCGATGGCAAAGTGGATGCGGAAGAAGAAACGGTGTCTGGATCTAGAGTTCCGCAATTTGCTTCTTTGGTGTCCTGACATGCTTTCTGAGCAGCGGCGTCATTTTCTCCGGCCGCGATGCATTCTGAGTATGTTTGATCGCAAACAAAGAATGGGATTGTGGAGGTGTAGAGTTGGAGGGAGGGAGATGAGGAGTTGGAAGTGCAGGTGCATGAGTAGCAGAGGGATGTCTATGGGGTGTGTTAGAGATCGGAGAGTGATTGGAGACGCAAGAGATGAGAGAAAATTGGATACGTACTATGTCACATGTATTTTCATCCGTGACACCACCGCAAAGGGTTCCGCATGTGTTGATTTGAAGTGTACACCATTGAGCTGGGATAGAATTAGTTCATCAGATTCTCTTCGAACATCCAACAGAGTAAAATACACCCGAAGTGGATTTAAAAACGACTTACAACGTGTAGCAACATCGATACTTCTCGGATCAATCTGCGTTTGACAAATCGAAGATGTCCCTCTCACCACCATCGCAAATTGTGCGACTAGACTTAAAATTTGCACGACTCTCATGATGATGAAGATCTGTGGACTTCCACTTGAAAAATAAGATAAATGGCGAAGATAAATTAATGAATAATTAAATCATGAATTTCCCCCAAAAACAGTGACAACGAGCGCGATAATTTGCGAAATGTAAAGAAGTAATATATAAAGCCGCCCGTTGTGTATAAAAAAAAAATCCCCCGTAAAACGAATGTCAAACAAAAACTGCGGCGAGTAATGATATCTCTGTACGTAGGTATGTATATATATGTAGGTAAAAAAATTTCAAAGCGAGCGCAGTCGGATGGATTCCTACGACAGTTTTATGTGCATCCCTCGCACCTCTCACCGTAAATGTAAGTTCAAATCAAATCCGACCGGACCCAAAAATCCAACAAAAAGAACCCGGGGAATATCTGACATTCATATATTTCTCACTTAAGAGTGGACTGGACGGGACTGCCTTGCACATCCATCCACACACGATACGAGATACACAGAAATTTATGTAATTAAACCGTTAGATACACCGGTGTACCTTTTGTACATCTGGAGATTTGTGTGCGTGGCTTGCTTATGTTTCTATCACTTCCTTCTTTCCTTACCTATTTGTTTCCATGCAATGCTTTCCGTTGTAGGTACTGGGGCCTTCCATCTATCTGCAATGCTGACATGACAGACACTTGTTTGAGCACGCGGGTAAAAAATTTGGTACCTACCTAGGTCCACCTGCATCGGTGAAAACCCCCAATTTTCTTCTTGAAAAGAAAACTGTTCACAGGGTTGAACTTTGAACTCAAAGTGTGCATGACAGACAAGAAGGAGGGCATGATCTGAATACGAAGTCTTCCCCTCCCCCTCCCCCATCCACACAAAATCTCCACATCCCCAGGATCCACGAATCATCAGGTGCCCTGCGCACCATTAACGGAAACATATCCATTTTGGGAGACATTTCCGATGCAGATGAGCTTTCTGGATTCGTTCGAACTTCGTGGTGTGCCTGCAGATCTAATTCTGATGTGCGCAGTCGGTCGGGTCGGGTCGATTGGGATGGTGTCCGAGGGGTACCCGAGTCGGAATGGAATGAATGGGTGCGGTGTTGTGTTGGATTGGGTTGTGAGAGGTAGGGCAGGCGGACGGTATGGTCTTATTGTGCTAGTGTGGAGATGCGGGCGCAGGTACGAGATTGGTTGGGGTTTTGGGTTTGGGAGAGGGGGAGGATGGTGAGGATGGGTTGGCATGGATGTTGTGGGGAATGAGGGAGAGGAAGTGTGTGGTTAGGATTGTGTAACCATCCATACCTACCTACCTTTGTATTATTCGCAACCAATTCATAGCTCGAGATTCCACTAATGCATTGAGATATATTCAATCAATGCCCATAGAGACTACCTATCAGAGATTTTACTCTTAATCCATTACAAATTATCATCACCATGAATTGAGACTCATCCCGTGACGTAAATCATCCTTCATCAAATCAGCTCTTCTAACACGTTTCAGTCAGAAGTAAAACCTCACACCATCCTCTCAACCGCAAAGTAAAAGTCCGATTTGATATTGAACATATATCATATCATAATATTAAATTTCAATTTCATAACCTCTTAATCCCAGCTGCTTAGCTTGGCTTAGCTCTGGTACTTCCCAATAGATAGTTTTTCATCCTCTCATACGCTATATCCGATTTACCAGCCCATAAACTCCTTTTCCAGATCCCATCTTCATCCCACATTTTTCACAAACACACATAAATGAATCCGTCCCATTATCCAACCCTCACTCATCGATTATTTGCCTTCCCTCCCTAACCCCACGTCCCCCGCCTTCCCTATCTCAAAACTTCCACTCCCGCTCCCGTGTTCCCCCACGGTCGCCATCTCCCTCCCCTCCAACGCCCTCTCCTCTGCCTCTCTCTCCCCCAAATCCCCCGCCAAACTCTCCACCTCCTCATCTTCATCCTCCTCCGGCAACCCCAAATTCAACGCCACAGCCACAAAAGCCGTCACCGCAAATCCCGTCTCCATCACCAAAACAATCGCATCAAAGAATCCCGCCTTCGCCCTATTATCCCCCGTATACGTAAAAACATACGAAAACCACGTTGGCACGAGCGTCGCACCATATCCCAGCGCCAAACTAGCCGTCAAGATAAATCTCGTTCTCCTTGTAAACGGCACTGTCGAGATAATTCTCAGACCCGAGACCGCTACACTCGCGAAGAGGAAAGTCGTCATGCCGCCTAGAACCGCATCTGGAATCGATGTGATAGCCGCTGCGAATTTAGCAAAGACGCCCATGACGACGAGGAAAAAGCATGCTGCGAAACCGGCTTTGCGGTTGGCGCAACGTGTTAAGGCGATGACACCGTTGTTTTGAGCAAAGGTTGACATGGGGGTGATGGTGCAGAGTCCGGCTAACATGCCATTGAGACCATCTGCGAGGACACCTCCTTGAATACGCGAATCGAAAAGGATACCATCGACTTGGAGACGAGATACATCGCAAGTGGCGGTTATGTCGCCAATGGCTTCCATCATGAGGATAAGGTAGATGGCTAGAAGAGGTAATATGAAAGGACCGTAGACGCTCAGTGGGAAAGTTTTGACCCAGATAAAAGATGCGACTGGAGCTGCTGTAATTCCACTGCTGTCGAAATAGCCACATGCAGCTGCGATGATACAACCGACCAGAAGACCGAGAACAACAGCGAGAGATTTCATAATCGGCGATCCGAAACGTTCGCAAATGATAATAGTGATGAAGACCGAGAAACCAAGACCAATAAACTCAGCAGATCCCCATGGAAGTGGATGCGGTGCAGCATTAGAAGGGCAAAACATATAATCCCCCGAAGCAGGTCTCGACATACAAGTTCCACTTCCTCCAGCCCAACCTTCCAATCCCGTCAGGATAAGCGAAACGCCAATTAGCATAACCGTTGGACCCGTAACAATCGGTGGGAAAAGCTTCTTCAGAAGTTTCGGCGTCATAAATGAGAGTCCTATTTCGAGAAGTGCGCATAACGATGCTGTTCCAAGTAACGCACCATAGCCCTCCGGACAAGGTAATGGCGTTCCATCTTCCGCCGTTTTACACATGCCATTTGCGTACATTTGTGAGAATCCCTTTGAAGCAAGAGGGATGATAGCAAACGAAGTACCCACGACCGAGATCAAACCCGTACCAATATAATAAGGTGTTTTCATAATCTTGAATCGAGTGATCTGAACCGCAGATAGAATACCCGATACAATTAGAGAAGTAGAAACGAGATATTGAGTAGTTTCCGCGTCGAAATATGCGGATCCGGCTATGAGAATAGGAGGGGTAATAATACCAGCTAACATAGCTAGAGCATGTTGGAATCCGAGAAGAAGACCTAGTAAAACTGGCATACGATCTTGGAGGCCGAAGAAAGGAGCTCGTCTTTTAGATTTTTTCATGAAGGGAAGATTGGGTTTGAAGAGGAAAGCTATGATGATTTAGCTTTGGGATCTCCCATCAGGAAGTTAGAGCAGAAAGAACAAGATAGAAGAGCATCCCATCCCCAATTCACATTTCAAACCTACCATAATCATAATTCCCCACCAATCCCTCCTTCGTCGTAAAAGCTCTCACAGTCCCCCTCACCCTCTCTCCCATCGTCCTCTCCCTCGAATTTTCAGACACAATCCTATCCGGTCCATCCTGCGGTCCACTATCAATCGTAACCGCCATTATATCTCTTTCCACGACACAATTGTCGAGTATCGATCAACTAATTTCAAGGTTGCGTTGCGGTTAAGTAAGGCTATTACTCGCGTAGATAGTTTCTTTGACGACGATCTCAAAGTCAAAATCAAAATCCCAAGCTAGGTAGATACTAGATCGTTCTCGAGTCCAGAGAATCAAACGCAATGGAACGCAATTGAACAAATGCAATAAATGCAATGCAAATAACACAACAGAACAAAACTGAATGATAGCAACGAGAGAAAAAAAGAGGATCGTCAACTCAATATATCCTCTCCACCCAACCCCAACCACAGCTCTCGCCGATAAGTATGCGTATAAATATAAATTAACCCACGAGGAAAAAATCGGAGACGTCCACTTCCACTCCGGACGGAAATCCCGAGAAAACAAAATCCATCTGCAGTTTGCGAATTCCGAGCAGCCAGTATCATATCACAGGAAGGAAGTAGCTCGCTCACCTCACAATAATAGGTTAATCTAGGTAACCCAACCCACCCATCAAATTTCATTCATTCTCCACGCCTAGATACGATACCACACCAGCACGCACACGCACACGCACACCCCATCTCTCCCCCAAAACCCAGTCACAATTTCACAAAACCTCAATCTGGATTCCCAGTTCCCACATGCACGAGGAAAAAATGGAGTCCGCCCCTTACCGTAGCTCGCTGCTCACGCAGCTTGACCACATCTGCAATCGTGGCGATAAGGAAACCCAACACTGACATTTGTCGAGGCGTAAGAGAAAAAGTTTAACGATACAAAAAGCTATTCTAATCGAGTAATACAATTGGATAGATAAGCTCTTATCGCACAGGTTATCATTCCCCCCAATCCGTCGGAACACGCTGGGGTCAGGAAATCCAATAGAAATCCAATGATCTTCATGCTAGCTAGGTTAGCTTATTGGGCGGAGCCCTCCGTAGCCGATCACGGACCCGAAGGGTTTGTGGACATTTTGGAGGAAAGAAATATAGATATAGATATCGACATCGATATTGCGGAAGGCGGCTACAATAACCATGTTAAAAAGAAAAACGAAAGGGTTTCAGACTTGATAGTGACTTCATTGTCCATCGATTCAGTCGAGTCTAGCTCATTTCAATCCCTTTCATATTCCTGATATCGTACATTTCCGAAACAGAATACCTACTCCCATCCACCATCCAGACGCTTTTGATCCCAAAATAACACGTGCAATCCATTCAAAGGGAAATTTTTTTTATTACACCAGCTGCTGAAAAAGATTTATCCAAAGCACATTTGCCTGCCGAGGTCTCACT